GTTGAAGGTGGAAGAGAGTGCTATACATTCACTCCCCCCACCTACAATCCCTGCCGGTACTGAGACTCGAACCCGTGACCTTCGGGTTACAAGTCTGACTCTCTAACCATTAGGATGAGCCATGGAAAGAGTGTTGCCTAACCCTAATCCTGGAGGTTCACCAACATAGCACATTATGTACGTCTATCCAATAAAACACTTGATCAAACTCATCAGCTTGTTCATATAGACTGTACTGCGTTCCAATTTTATTGCCTTCTTTTCTTAACTATGCGCCATCCCATGGATTTGATTGTGAGTGCTTACATTGTGCAAGTAGCCCGAAATTCACAATGGAGCTGATTTATTATTTACTATTTTTATCCTAATTATTTGGTTTTATGCACCATTCTACCATTCTATAGGCCTACTTCAGTTGTTGGGGAAAACTTAAACAAAATAGCAATACAATAAACTAAAACAACTTAAATGTTTCTCCTCTATGCCCCGCCTTTCTGAAACGCGTAGATTTTTACATTCTAGTCGTGTCCTCTTTTGGAAGGCCAAACAAAGTAGTTTCGCTTTCACAACGAAACACACAACGAAACTCCACGACATGGCGGCGGCAACAACAATACTACAGCGAGAATCAAAGTTGCACCTTCTTTCTTTGCATGAACATTTGGGCGGTGTTATGCAAATCTTCCCACACAGTGACGTAGACATGTGGGGGCATGTTTAAACGAGGCGTTTTAGGAGGGCGTGGACGAGTCTTAACTTTTATAAAGAATATCTCTTTGGGTTTGAGACTTTAGTCTTTGCAACTTTAGGGATCTTATCTATGCATAAACAGCTTGTAACACTCCAAAGAGAAAGGAATACTTGAAATCGCATCATATGACCCCTTTAAAACTGTGGTTAAAACCCTCATCATACACAAGAGCTGTGTGGGGTGGGAGAGAATAAGTGAAGTCTAATTGCATTTTGGGATATAGAGCTGCCTGAAACATCCCTTATATTAGATTGCAGAACAATTTGACCCATTTTGATTACTGGAAGTTCTTGAGTTGTTTTTGAGTTGCTGGAATTACTTGTTAACTTGCGTATTTCTTGAAATGTTTTGACCTTTTCTCATTTATGGTCATGAACATGCCTGCAAAGTGTCTCTCTGAATCCCAATCTGGGAATCGACCCCATGATCTTGGCATTGCTAGCACCATGTTCTACTGTTTGAGCTTCAGGACAACACACAGAAGACGTGCTTTTCCATACTGCTTCGGTTTAAAATGTTTTGTCTGAGAATTATTCATATTAATAGTTTGCCGTTTTACCTGATTTTTTTTTTCCTTGTTTGATTTTTGGTGGCACAATAAAAATCATACTCAGATTTTGAACAACATAAGGCACAAATGAATAGGTTTGCTCGCTCCCTCTGTCCTAATCGAGGGGTCGAGGGTCTGTCAACAGAAATTTCCTTTGCTCAGTTAAACTTCCAGTAATAGCAGACATTCCCTGAGGGAAGTGCTTAGTCATAGTGTATGTATGTATGTTTAAAGTGCAGTGGAAGGAAGTCCTGAAATGCATGAGCCAGATAAGGTACTGATGGCATGCCTCCAGGAACAAACTAACTGCAGACATCCATGTAGAAGTTCTATTGTTCATGATGCATTTTGGCAATATTTGGGTTTTTAGAGTGTATAACAGGTATCATGTATTGAAGAACTTGAAGATATGATTTTGTAAAGGTGGACTTGAGCACACAAACCTCGCAATAGAGTGATGAGAGAGACGAGGCAATGCTCTTGCATGATCTGTTCTAGTTTGAACTGGAAATAATGCCCTACATACACCTCTAGAGTCCTCTTCAAGAGAATACGAGCTCCGCTCAGAAAGTGATGCAGCCAATCAGGCATGTGGAACACCACCCGACCTGTCAAAAAAAATAAAAATCTCCACTAACAACTGTGAAATACTGTTATGTAATACCAGTCTGTAAAGAAATAAAAAAGTGTCACATCTCATTTGGTTACTACAAATGTGAGAACCAATACCATCCTCAGTCACATGACTTCAAGAGAAAAGTGCACGAGTCGTATGGACTACTGTTAACACACTTTCATGGTCCAAACATAGTCACTATGAACTGTTACTTTTGTGTTCTTTGGAAAATATAACCAAACAGATGAGTACATTTTCATGTTTTGGTTTTTAATTTCTGGATTTGCTCTCATTTTAATAATCATACTCTTTTTTTTGTACAATTTTTTTTGATGAATAAACTCCAGTTTGTTTGAATTACATTCACTCACCTATGTACATCATAAAGTCATATACTCCATCAACCTCCATCAGCTCCATGAAGTAGTTCTGGTTGTGTTTTCTCTCCAGGCCCTCTGGCAGATTGGCATTGTTTCTGTACAGCTCATTAAATAGCTAAAATGGTATGAGTGGAAATGTTATTTCCAGTATTAAAAATACACAGAGAATATGACAAGTCAATGCAATTTAATTTTTTGAATGATTTGTGATCAGTAAATAGATTTCCAAAACTATATATTGAGTACAGTTTGTACTGATACATCTTTCAATGACAAAAGGAAAAATAAAATTAACTGCACCTTCAATTTTTTTTTAAATTGTAATATTTCACAATTTTTTAATATTTAAAAAAAAATTAAGAAAGTGTCTTTTATAAGGCTAGTATAAATATTAGAAATGCAGAGTAAATGTAAAGTAAAGATTTAATAAATGAGCAAATTTTTATGCTCGGGACAAAATCCTAAGTGATCTTCTATTGAAAGTGCAGATAATTATGAACAAGCATGTTTGATTGATTTAATACATTACATGATATATATAATACATCCTAAGAACTTTTTTTTTTTTTTTTAAGAATAAAAAAAAATGCTTTTATTGAAAGAAATGTTAAGTGTTTTGAGTAGTAAGCGCACCTTTTTATTATTTTCTGCAGTGGGGCTGAGGATGGCGAGCTCAGGTCTGCTGGGTTTGGGTTTGGGGGATTCACAGGAACTGAAGAATGACTGGATAAATGGCTCCAGGTTTTGCCCTTTCTAAAGAAAATCAGCAAGCATAAACATCATGAAGTCATATTAAAACCATTTTATGCTTTTCAAATTTTGTGAGAAATTAAAAAAGTAAAAAAAAAAAAACTCCTATTTGTTCTTTATCGGTAAATAGATGTGTCAGACTTTTGATTATATATTATATTATTTATATTTACACCTGATGCTAAACAACTATAGTCATTTTATCCCATAAGAGATCTAAAATCTGAAGAAAGCTAGAGACATAACCTGTACAGCAGTGGTCTCAAGCTCAGTTCCTGGAGGGCCACAGCCCTGCAGAGTTTAGCTCCAACTCACCTGCTTGGAAGTTTCTATGCTGCGCTCGATCTACCTCAGAAGTCGGAGCTGAGAATGACGTCACACCCAAGTGGACCATGTTCCATGATGGACACATCCATTGTTAGCAATACCAGTCGATTATAAACTGCATTTTGCACAGATAAACGGCATAGTATCACGTCCCCAAATAGAGGTTGGATAGTACCGTGTGCACCACTGAGTTTATTGAGACACAGACAAACATATGCACTAATAAACAATATATTACTACAGTTTCTCTTCTGCTGATGCACTGAGCAGCCATATTGGATTCTGAAGTTGGAGTTGTTGGCAAAGGTGATATAGAAATTAATTAAGCAATTGATAGGGTTTCTTAATACATGTAACATCTTATCTGAAGTCCAATTTGGTTTTCGTTCATCATTTAGTTGTATTACAGCAGTTGTAAAAGTTATGAACGATATTTATAATGCATTAGAAACAACAATTTTGTGCATCTTGCTAAAGCCTTTGATACAGTTGATCCTTCTATTTTATTATCCAGATTACGTAGTATTGTTGTGTCTAATCTAACCTAATCTTGGTTCTCTAACTATTTATTTAACAGATCCCAATACATATGTAAAGATTGATCAACAATTATCTGAACCATTAACTATTAAAAAAGGGGTCCCTCAAGGCTCTGTGTTAGTGTCAACCCTGTTTTCAATTTACATTAATAATATTTCTCAGGTCATCTGTAGTCAGAAAACCTCATATAATTAATCTTCAAAAGAAAGTTAAATCTAGACTTTTTTTGTACCGAAATAGATCTGTGTTTACCACATCAGCCAAGAAATATCTTATTGAAACCACTGTTTTACCTTTATTTGACTATGGTGATGTGGTATATAGAAATGCGGGTAAAGGTGTTCTGGAACAAATAGATGTGTTGTACCATGCAGCAATTAGATTGATTACTAATGCACCCTACAGAACGCATCATTGTGAATTAAACTCTCTTTTGAATTGGAAGTCATTGCATACAAGACGGGAAATTCACTGGTATATCTTTATTTATAAAGTTCTGTTGGGCTTATTACCTAAATATCTTCACAAGTTGCTGCAACTTCATACTAATACATATACAACTAGATCATCTATATTTCTTTGACTATCCCTTGAAAGAAAACTACTTATGGTCGTTCCGCTTTTGAATTTGCTGCCCCAAATGTTTGGAATGTGCTACAAAAGCTATTGAAACAAATATTTCAGTCTGTGCATTTAAAAAATTGTTAGTGAGTGCTTTTACCACAACCAGTAAATGTTTTAATTGAGGTGCTTTTTCCTTTCCTCTCCTTTTTTTTGTGTTTTGTACACATTGTAATGTATGTTTGTATGTCCTTCAGGAGACGTTAACTCTCCTGCCAGACTGTTATTGTAAATAAGAACCTGTTCTTAATGGCTTGCCTGGTTAAATAAAAAAAATAATAATAATAACGTTAACGGTACAATGTCGGTACCGCCTAATGAAAAGGAGTAGGAGAGCTGCTCTGAGATAAACATATATATTTCTGCCTTCTAGTGCACAGGAAAGACAAACAAAATAAGGTCAAGCAAATGTGGTAGGATATATTATAATTACAGTAGCACTCCAGGATCATGTAACTTTAGAGTTCATAAGAAGGCAGCTCTGGCATGGACATCCCATGATTTCTGTACCATAATCTGGACATTTATGCTCTTTCTCAAAGGATTCCTCTCTTTTCTCTGAGAAACATCCCCACAGCTGTTGTCTCAACAATGTTTAACTCATGTTGTCAGATTGATTTATGGGCTTAGGGGAGCGCAGGGCACAAAGTAACGCGGGGTTAGTTGTAACACATCCCTCAAGGCTCTGTGTTAGCGTCAACCCTGTTTTCAATTTACATTAATAATATTTCTCAGGTCATCTGTAGTCAGAAAACCTATATTCACTTATATGCAGATGATACAATTCTTTATGCTGTAGGACTGTCATATGATTAAGTTTTAAAACAGGCACAGGACAATTTTAATACTATTCAAGACTTAAATTTAGTTCTAAATAGCACAAAAACAAAAGTAATGTGGTTTGGAAAAAAAACAACAAGGTAATAAAGACATATTTCTGATGGGGCAAAAACTGAAGTAGTATCTTCATATAAATATCTCGGAATTTGGCTTGACAGCTCTTAATCTTTTATTAATCATATAATTAATCTTCAAAAGAAAGTTAAATCTAGACTTTTTTTTATCAGTTTAGCTAGTTTTTTAATGCTTTGATAACTAGCAGAAGGCACTAACCAGTTTTAAATGGCAGTTGCACAGATGAGGCACCTTGTAACACTGCGTTACAATGTGCTATTCTATAAATGTCATCTCCTAATTGAGATTGTAGATAGAGTGTCAATGGTCCATTTGAGAGATAGGTTGCGGTAACGCACTTATAAGTCTGCGATCCGCCGTAAAAGAAGAAGACATCACGTGCCGGCTGGAGAACGCGTAGAAAACTATATAAATACTGTTAAGTTTCTTGCACAGACCGATCGTTTCGTGTGAGGCACCTTGTAACACTGCGTTACAATGTGCTATTCTATAAATGTCATCTCCTAATTGAGATTGTAGATAGAGTGTCAATGGTCCATTTGAGAGATAGGTGGTGGTAACGCACTTATAAGTCTGCGATCCGCCGTAAAAGAAGAAGACATCACGCGCCGGCTGGAGAACGCATAGAAAACTATATAAATACTGTTCAGTTTCTTGCACAGACCGATCGTTTCGTGTCTTTACACATCAATGTATCGTCACAAGCCGCAGGGTTTAATTTGTGTATTTTTTTTTGACTCTCAAAGCCGTGATTTGGGTAAACAGATAAACATCAAATTTTCATTTTTGGGTGAACTATCCCTTTAAACAGTGCCTAATCAGCAGTTATGTGGCATTGTCAGAACATCAACTGGCCCAATAATGGGATCCAATGGTGTGGGGAAAAGTATTCTGCATGTAATATCTTTTTTAGTGCTTCTGTTAAAAACAACAACAACAACAACTTATAATTTACTTCTGACTCCATAGCTGATTTGATCTGCCTGCAACTGTGCAAGTGCAAGAGATCATTAAATTTGCACAGTGATTCTGATTTAAAAACTGTTGAGTTTACAGAAAATATTTGTATTCAATAAGACTTTTAAAAGTAGACACTTCAAGTTTCTATAGATATATTTCTCATGTCTGTGTCAAGTATTCGCTGAGTTTTGATTAATTTTAGTGACGCGTTTCAGAAAGATATCTGTGGAGACTGAGACGGCTGAAAGCACTTTTTGGGTGAACTATCCCTTTAAACAGTGCCTAATCAGCAGTTATGTGGCATTGTCAGAACATCAACTGGCCCAATAATGGGATCCAATGGTGTGGGGAAAAGTATTCTGCATGTAATATCTTTTTTAGTGCTTCTGTTAAAAACAACAACAACAACAACTTATAATTTACTTCTGACTCCATAGCTGATTTGATCTGCCTGCAACTGTGCAAGAGATCATTAAATTTGCACAGTGATTCTGATTTAAAAACTGTTGAGTTTACTTCAATAAGACTTTTAAAAGTAGACACTTCAAGTTTCTATAGATATATTTCTCATGTCTGTGTCAAGTAATCGCTGAGTTTTGATTAATTTTAGTGACACGTTTCAGAAAGATATCTGTGGAGACTGAGACGGCTGAAAGCACACCCTGTTTATTTTCTTTATTTTGCAAAAGCACGTTATTTTGTTGTTATTGACTATACACAAACAAAAGTAGACACTTTGCAGTTTCAAATGGTGCCTTACTCTTATCTGTGCGATTATTAAATTGACGGAGTATTTTTAGTTCTTTTCGAGGTCATCATAAAAAAACGTGGCAGACCACACTGGTGTGGTCTTCGACCCCAGAGGGTTAATCTGCATATCACCCTGACAAATTACATCAACGGAAAATGAGATAAAGTAAAAATAGATTGTGGGTTAGATTAACTAGAAATAGATACTTAAAAATAGCAATTGCAGGTCACCACTTTTTCCACTATATGTTTTAGTGAGCCACCCTAATATTTTTACCGTCCCCCTCTGGTCACCCCATTAAAAATTTCCTTGAGGCGCCACTGCTGCATTCAGTTTATCAGTAACACCAGACTCCACTTTACCTACTAGTCATAATGATTTCAGAAGAACCCAGAATGAATCAAATTTTAACATTTTAACAAAAAAATTGACACATCAATTAAAAGGAAGAATAAAAAAGGATTAACTGAAATAAAGTCTTTCCAAAATAAGTATACCTGTATACCAGTATACCTGGCAAGACACAGCAATCGTGCGGGAAGTTCAGTTTACAGATGCTTCTTTGTGCAGTTTGCAAATTCCCTTTAAACCCCCAAATCAGATCTATAAATTCAAACTATCAAAAACTTAACTGAACTTTTGCTGGGCAATTTACCTTGACCTAAAGGGTCACCCCTATTGTGGGGCAGGAAAAATCATTTGTGAGATACTTTAGCTGGGAGAACAGAACAAACAAATACACAGCTCCACTTTACCTACTAGTCATAATGATTTCAGAAGAACCCAGAATGAATCAAATTTTAACATTTTAACAAAAAAATTGACACACATCAATTAAAAGGAAGAATAAAAAAGGATTAACTGAAATAAAGTCTTTCCAAAATAAGTATACCTGTACACCAGTATACCTGGCAAGACACAGCAATCGTGCGGGAAGTTCAGTTTACAGATGCTTCTTTGTGCAGTTTGCAAATTCCCTTTAAATCCCCAAATCAGAACTATAAATTCAAACTATCAAAAACTTAACTGAACTTTTGCTGGGCAATTTACCTTGACCTAAAGGGTCACCCCTATTGTGGGGCAGGAAAAATCATTTGTGAGATACTTTAGCTGGGAGAACAGAACAAACAAATACACAGCATCTCCTGGGACTTTCACACATTCAAGAGTTTACTCTTTGGTGCCAAAGAACTGTGCTGCAGTTCTGTAAACGGAAATGCCTTCTAGATCAGCGAGATCTATGGAGATTAGTGTGAGCTGACAGAAATGCTATGTGACTCAGATAACCACTCTGTACAACTGTGATGAGCAGAGCACATCAAACCTTGAGGTGGATGGGCTACAACAGCAGCGGACCACACATCAGGTTTCACTTCAGTCAGCCAAGAACTGGACAGACTGGAAAAATACAGACTGGTCTGATGAATTCGGCGGCATGAATTCATGGACTGAACCTGCCATGCATGAACAGTTCAGGCTGGTTAGCGGTGGTGTAATGGTGTGAGGACACACTTTAGGCCCATTAATACCAATCAATCATTGCTTGAATACCACAATCTATTTGTGTATTGTTGCTGACCGTGTGCATCTCATCATGGCCATTATTTACCAATCTTGTATGCCTGCTTCCATCATATCACAAAGCAAAAGTCATCTCAAACTAGTTTCATGAACATGACAATGAATTCTCTGTTATGTAGTGGCCTATCCAATCACTGAATCTGAATCCAAAAGTACAGTGGTTCCCAACCACACTCCTGGAGCCTGAAACAACTTTGCACATTTTACATGTCGTTTTCACTGATCCATGTGAACAGGGATTGTTTTAACAATGTTGTCGTCCATTTTTAGTACATTGTTGTTGTAAAAAACGTACTCAGACAAAGGAGACATGCAATATGTGCAGTGTTAGGGGGCTCCAGGAACGAGGCTGAGAGCAAAGGAAGTCCTTAGCCAGTATTAGAATAGTGCTCCTAATAAGTGCTCAGTGAGTGTATATATACAATGTATAATATACACACACTAATCAGGTTCAGTGAGGACTTTTCAATTTATTATATTAAAAAAAAAATGGTGAATGAATTCTAATAAAGCACAGAAGAAGCTGGCCGAATAAAACCAAACCAAACCAAACCAAACACGCAGATGTGTTGTGTGAAGTTGAGCAGATTATGTGGATATGGTTAAGGGGGAGTAAACATACCCAGGTTGACATCTGGAAGCATTTTGTCATTGAACTGAGACTCAATGCTGTGATGAGACAGGAAATCTGCCAGCAGCTGACTGTTACTCAGTTCAGGGTGATGCAGCAGGTTCTTTAGGAAACAGAGAGATTCATGTCATTATCTTACACATTACGTCACCCTGACCAGCAATCAAAACATATAGTACGACAGTGAAATTTAAATAAAAGCAGAGAGTCTGTGTCCTTTGTAAACAGAGAAATATTGATACAGAGGACACGGTTTAAGTACAAACTAACAAAAAATTGTATGAATTAAATTAATTAACACAATTTAGAAATACTGCAGATCATGTTTTTTCTTTTAACATTTAAAGTGAGTTATCCTTGCAGCAAATCATTGTTAATCTCTAATTCACTGTCTATTCAGCATTTTTAATGATACACACTTACACTGCTAAACAACTTGAACATGATACATTCAATTTACATTAATAATGTACTTTCATAAATTATAAGGCCTGATTTTAAGTAACCTTATGGCAGACTGATGCTGTTTGTACTTCTCTTGGTTAATAAGATGAAGCAAGTGGAAAAAGTAAATTACCTGTAAATATTCCTCAAATTCACCTCGTTTCGAGGACAAGAATTCGTAATTCTTTGGTCCAATGATTCTTTTGGAAGGGAGTTGAGCATCCTGGAATGGGCCTGTAATAGAAAAACAAACCAGAGAGATGAATAATCCATAAACATGAAGCCTCTGTCATGAAGAGAGAGACAATAATCAACTTTACCATGAAATTCTGTGAGTTTAGATTCCAGCACATAAAACTCCAGGTATTTTCTATAAACAAACCAGCTCTCGGTCTCATGCCCCACTGTAAAGCAAATAAGCACTTTCACAAAGTGGCTCTGTTCTCACAGGACATTCGTGTAATAAAAAATAGCTTAATGAAATGCAATTTAGTGTAAATTTAGTTCTGAACCTCACCATTTTTTCTGTCGTGGCGCTCCACGTCGATGCAGTAGACTGGAGTGCGCTCTTTCTTAACCTCGTCATCAAAAAAATCCACATAAGGGATTGAGATGGTCCAAGCGGCAAGGTTACGCAATGTCCCTGGAGTTCCCACCACCTCCACAGGCCCTGGAGAGTCGTCCTCAAACACCATCACTGCTTCCTCCACCTGACCGTACAGAGATGTTCAAAAAACATTCTCGAAAAAGAGACACACACGTTACACACAAACAATCAGCCTGAGTAAATTGTACCATTATAGAATTGTGACTGCACACGAGTTGTAGTAATTTAAGAGGTGGATATACTGTGAAATGACATAGCCTACATACATATATATGGCATAAAATTTGAAAGCATAACAACTGAAAGTCTGAAACGTCAGTAAATAAAGCATTTTTTTAAACAATGGCAAAATTTTGAACTAAAATGTTATTGCAGCCATATAGCCTTTGAATGAATGAAAAAGCATATTTTATAGTTAAAGAGAACTTAGAGAGCGTGGGCTGCTTTTGGTGAATTTGTACTTCAATAATGAGATCCAAGATTAAGAATACACTTGAAGTTAAAGGGGACATCGGATGCCCATTTTCTACAAGTTGGTATGATTCTTTAGGGTCTTAATGAAATGTCTGCAATATACTTTGGTTAAAATTCCTCAATAGTCATGTAAAACAGATGCTGTGTAATGAGTTCGATCCGCTGGGTAGTCAGGTTATGCCGTCCATTGGCGCAAAGTCACATGACTTTTGATGTACATTGAGGAATTTATTTGGCAAATGCGTTTATCTCCCATTATTCACATTAACCCTTTTCCGCACAAGTCAAAAACCACCTCAAGCGAGCGTAAAAACTTTTTTGCGAATTAAGGGGTTTTTTTTCAGAATTTGGCGTTTCCATCACTCATTTCTGATGGAATACTTCAAAATGCACATACAAACAGGGTGATGGAAACATAGCTATTGTTGTCGCTACAGCTGGAGAAAATGGTAGGAAATAAGCTAATATGGGACAGTCCGTCAGAGGCGTGGGCGGGGCCTGAACAGTACAACGTCATACTGCTCAGAAAATCAAAACGGCTTGATAATAGAGACTGTTTCGTTTTTTTGGGGATAAAAAAAAAAAAGAGTGAATAGATTTTTATCATTGTAGGGGTTGTGTCCACACACACTGCTAAGACACATTATATGTAAACACATTTATATGTTAAAGTGAATTTTGCATCAGATGTCCCTATTAAAATGTTATAAATGTGTCTCTTTTTTCTCTCTTTTTAGCAACATTAACTTACAATAGTGAAAGTTACGATAGTCTACCCTCAGGTAGATTGCATGTTTTCTTGGCTTGCTGGATGTTTGATCAACAATCACATTGTTTGCATTCGCCCAAACAGATTGCCGAAATCAAAACGCGGATGGTGAAAGGGAATTGCCGTTAGTGCGAGTCCCGCTCACTGTGAAGCGGAAGCGACCAGCCGGCAGAAGATTCTGCAAGGTCTTAAAGCCTTCCTCGAAAGGCTACATTCGCAAATAAAACAATGATTTGTCCAAAACGAATGATCAATTATCAACTGAGAATTTGTTATTTTTATGGTCTGGTGGTCATACGGCATATGCCTGCGAATACGGGACAAACTGCGTTCCCTATGGTTTTCTTACGGAACGCTTCTTTGATGCCTTAAATACGGGACAATTCCGTGGAATGGTTGGCAACCCTGTAACGTGTTATGAAATTTTGGTATTAGTTCCATAATTTAGGTATGAATTCTGGTAACACTTTAGTTTAGGGACCAATTCTTACTATTAACTAGTTGTTTATTAGCATGCATATTACTAGCATACTGGCTGTTTATTAGTACTTATATTAATGCCTTATTCTGCATGAGCATATTTTAGATCCCTTAATCCTACACAATACCTAAATTACAACTACCTTACTAACTACTAATAATCAGTAATTAGGAGATTACTGAGGCAAAAGTCGTAGTTAATATGGCCCCCAAATTAAAATATTCAGTGTCGACATGTTTCTGAAGGGTTTGTCTCACCGTGTCGTCTTCTCCTTCAATCATGGCGTATTGTGGTAGCAGTGCGCCCTCCATTGTGCTACTCTTAAACACGCCTTTTATTTTGCTTCCAATACGGCTGATCCCAAACGACTCGCCACGCTTTGATGTGTTCCTGTACGGAAAAACAAAGTGATATTGTTTGGTCGCAAATTCAAAATGGTTGCTTAAAAAAAGACATAAGCAGCACTCTACACTGCACCAAAGTCACACAACCAATGACAGGGCACATAATACAATGAAAACATGATCACAGGAAATGATGAGTATACCCTAAATGCCTTTAAAAGAACATGTGCAATACAGCTACAGGCTCAAACAATGCAAGGCAATGCAGACAGTCCAGTAAACCCATGCATTAATCCTGCTGCCTGTGCTGAACTTGGACCAGTTTTACCTCCAGACAACAACCTTTGGTTTTACAGACAGACAGCCAAACTGGTCTAAGATGAGCAGCAAGCTGGGAGTGTCTTCCACCCCAGACTTACTTCCTGGGGAGGGCTGGTAATACTGTAGGGCGGCGTGTTAAGGTGGATGTGGCTGTGGCTGTGGCTCTGGAAGTGACCAATGGCGACCTGTGGCCAGTGATATAATTCCTGGCCAAAGGGATGTTGTCAAGTCTAAATGAAGCAAATAAGCATGCCAGCAGATAATGGGAACAAAACGGATAAACATCAGCACCAAAGGACAGCTGGAGATGGACAGATTAAATGGTTCAAATGCACATCAAATTGTAATTCATTACTCTGCTTCATTTACACGAAGAACTGGAAAAAAGGGATCTGGTGCATGTAGCCATGTAAGTCAGTGCGTAGTTTGAGCCTCAGATGGCACATCAGTGTTTCCCACACACAGACTTTACTTGGGCAGGCCGCCCAGGTATATTAAAGTCTGCCCAAGTATATTTGCAGACTCTAAAATCATCTCTTTCGAAATTACATTCACATTATTTTGCAGTTTTAGGTCATCATGAAAGTTTATCCTTGACATTCATTTTCTTGGCAGTTTAAACATTCATGTGATTTATATATTTTTTTTTAATTAAAGTGCAATAAGTTATGGGAGGTCTCAATTTGGCAGTCGCACACTGTTCTGTCAGAGAATGTTCTGTGCACACACACCTGAAGCGTGCACAAAGAAAGCCACCTGTCACATAGCACAAGTTCTTTTTCATGGTGTATTGTGCTTAAATGGTGAAATACGCACAATATGCAAGTTATGCCAAAATTCAGTTATGTCTTAAGTGAACGTAAGTGAAGTAAACCGTTGGGAAAGAAATCAGATATTGAATCCATGCATTAGGTCTTAAAGTGACCGCAGCCTAATAAACCTGTAGCTGTCATTGAGTGTAATTAATGTTAAACAACAAAAGAGAAAGAGACAATCACTCACTGCTTTTGACTGAATCACTGTCAGCTTTAACAGAAATCATTCTATATTCAATTCATGATATATAACTCTATAAATAAATGTACATTCAATTAATTTATTTTTTATTTATTTTATATTCAATAAATACAAATATTATGCTGAAGGTTACACATTATTTATCACATGTACTAGCTAGACCATTTTTGTGCCAGTGGGTAATGTCAGCCTTTTCTACCACAAGTATATTTCAGACCTGTGGGAAACACTGTACACCCACAGTCTATCTGCTGGCCATCTTACTCCTATTAAAAACCTGAAAAACACTTGCAGAAAAAAAAGGCAAGATCCAAACAGATTGCCCAACTGCAATGCAATATTCATGCGTCAGTATATCAGTCTGACAAAGAACAAAAAATGTGTTGATTACATAAGAGCTTGGGAGGAAGAACTAGGTGTTGGATTTGCCAAAGTGTGAGGCCAGAATTAAAGGGGTTTGGGTGAACTATCCCTTTAAGTTGTATTTACAACACTGTTCCAGAACAGTACAACCTAAATATTCGAGTGTGTGCAGCGCATTTTACGGAGGAGTGTTTCCTGATCCTGGGAGAGTAGACTACAATGCCGGCTGTTCTGACTCGCAGCCTGTAAGTATGTTTTCATATTTAAAGAATTTGCCACTGATGATTCAAACGCGAGT